ATCTCCCCTGAAGAAAGAAAAACAAAATACACACACACCCCCCACATATATATGGGAAAGAAAAACAAGAAGTCACAAATAATTGAGCCAACTTTGAAAATAGACAAAGATAAGAAAAACTGTCCTAGCTGGTATTTAACATCACTACCATTTGAGAAATGCAAATTAAAACCACAATGTGACTTCAGTACAAAAATATTAGAACAACTAAAACAAAAAACAGTGACAATACCAAATCCTGGTGAGGCTAGAAACTGGATCTCATACACATTGCTGGTGGGGATGTGAAATAGCACAGCCATCCTGGAAAACAGGTTGGCAGTTACGTCAAGAACTAAACATACACTTACCACGCCATCCAGCAATCGTGTTCCCAGGCATTTATCCCAGAAAAAGCAAAAATGTATATCCATACAATATATTGTACAAGAATGTTCACAGCAGCTTTCTTTGTAATAGGCAAGAACTAGAAACAGCCTAGATAATCCAGATGAATAACTGAATTGTGATACAAAAATATCATGGGAAAATACTCAACAATTAAACAAAACAAACTATCGATATATTCAACAATTTGGGTCAACCTCAATCCTAAAAAATTACACACTTTTAAGTGATAGTGCTTCATAAATGGAAAACTACATTTTATGAAGCATTCTTGTGATGACAAAATTATAGACATAGAACAGTGATTAGTCTTCCCAGAGGTAGGGATGGTAAGGGCCGGGGAGATAAGTATAACCAGGAAGAGATGACAAGAATGAGATCTTTGTGGGGATAGCATAGCTCCTGCGTCTTGATTGCAGAGGCGGTTACAGGACTCTACCCAGGTCATAAAATGGCCCAGAACTACACACACAGGCATTGCACAAAGTCAATTTCTTGGTTTTGCTACTGTCCTACAGATGTACAAAACATAACCATTAAGGGAAATAGGGAAATTAGGTGAAGCTGCCCGTGAGTATAAAATGTTAACTGTGGCTCGGCGCCTGCAGCTCAGAGGTTAAGGCACCAGAGGCCACATACACCAGAGTTGGTGGATTTGAGCCCGGCCTGGGCCAGCTCAACAACAATGACAACTGCAACAAAAAGTAGCCGGGCATCATGGCCGGCACCTGTAGTCCCAGCTACTTGGGAGACTGAGGCAAGAGAATCGCTTAAGCCCAAGAGTTTGAGGTTGCAGTGAGCTGTGACGCCACAGCACTCTACCCAGAGCAACATAGTGAGACTCTGTCTCAGCAACAACAAAAAAAAATAATAATTAAAATTAAATAAAATATTAACTGTGAGGGACACAAACCCTCTCTGTACTATTTTTGCAACTTTCTGTGAATCTATGAGTAATTGTATCAAAATAAAGCTAAAACAAATTAAATGGGAAGAATTGTTCAGATAGAGGAAAAATAGTACAAAAACATAGTATTAAGACAGCATGGTATTGGAGCAAGAACAGATAAATAGGATTTTTTTTTTTTTTTAGACAGAGTCTCACTATTTCACCCTTGGTAGAGTACCATGTCATCACAGCTCACAGCAACCTCTAACTTTTGGGCTGCAGCGATTCTCTTGCCTCAGCCTCCCAAGTAGCTGGGACTACAGGTGCCCGCCACAACACCTGGCTATTTTTTATTGCATTTTCCATTGTTGTTTAGTTGTCTCGGGCCGAGTTCGAACCCACCACCCTTGGTGTGTGTGGCTGGTGCCCTCACCACTGTGCTACGGGCGCAAAGCCAAGAACAGATACATAAATCAAAGGAACAGGATCTAGTGTTCAAAATTTATATGAGAATGTAATACACAATGTGTGGCAACACTATCTTTGGGAAAATGAAAGAAGGACACTAGGAAAACTGGCACACTATAAGGAAAACAAACTGGATCTCAAACTTGTAACATATGAAAAGGTAAACTCTAGAAGTATCTAAAGACCAATAAGTTTAAAAGAAAACTATAAAGTTAGTAGTATATATGACACAGGAGAGTAACTGTGTAACACAGATTTGAGAAAAGACTTCTGAAGTAAAATCCCCAAAAGATAAACCATAAAACCAAAAAAAAATTGTATTTAATTATATCAGAATTGATGATTTCTATTCAATGAGCACATCACTGAAAAAGATTATAGACAAATAACAGATAAGAAACAGATATACTTGTAACATTTAAAGAACTACTATTTAAGAAATACAAAAAACATCTGTAAGACTGGGCAGGGTGGCTCACGCCTGTGGGTAGATTGCTTAAGCTCAGGAATTCCAGACCAGCCCAAGCAAGAGTGAGACCTCCGTCTCTAAAAATCACTGGGCATTGTGGTGGGTGCCTATAGTTCCAGCTACTCCGGAGGCTGAGGCAAGAGAATCACTTAAGCCCAAGAGTTTTAGGTTGCTATGAGCTGTGATGCCACAGCTATCTACAGAGGAAAACAATAGAGAGAGACTCTGTTTCAAAAAACAAAAAAAAAATTTTCTTCGAGACAAGAAACATCTGCAAATCAGTAAGAAAAAGACTGAAACCCAAAAATAAAAATGGGTAAAAAGATGAACAGGTAATTTTTCAAAAGAAAAAATCCAAAAAGATAAAATGCATATGAAGAAATGTTTAAATGCATTAGTAACTGTGAAATTTAATATAAAATGGGATTTCATTTTGTATCTATTAGTCTGGAAATATTAGGGCACTGAATAGCACCAAGCACTGGTGTGAATACACAGACAGGGAAACTCTCAAACTGCCTACAGGCATATCAACCACTGCAACTGTTCTAAAACACCATCTGGCAGGACTTCAATAAAACATACAAATACCCAATGACCTGGAGATTGCAATCCTGGATATATATCTCAAAGACAGTATCACAGAGGTCTGAAAGGTATGTTTGTCGCAGTATTATCATTAGTGTTAGGAAAATGAATATAAAATGGGAGTCCAGAAATAAGACAGAGGCATATGTACATTCTTAAACATTGTGCAGCAATTAGAAGCAATGAACAGCAACACAAATAGATCTTCACAATGTTGTGGGGGAGAAAAAAATTATAACAAAATATATAGCATATCCCTACAAATTCAAAAATGCGGACATCCACAACAATACACATTTAATAACACATCCAGACAGAAGGATTCATCACACAGTGGATGCCAGTGGGTTGATGAGCAAGAAGATGGGATGGGATTTGGAAATAAAAGGCAATGAATAAAAAAACACCATTCTCACGAGGAAGGCACAAAACCAGCTCACGACTTTAGAAGTTCTCAAGGCTAAGGCTATTCCATGGAAGCGTTAAACTTCAAAACAAAACTTATATTCAAGATAAAAGGAAAATACAAAAGATACAAGGGTCACTACCCCAAAACTTACAATAAATTCCCACAGTAGTATTCAAACAAGGCAAAACCAAGTCACTTGGATTCATCCAGCCACTGAGATCTTTTAAAATGTATCTACGGGTGGCAATAAGAAAAAATAAATTGTATACTCTCATTGTCCTGTTAAATAGGGCTCTAGAACAGTTTTAAAATACAGACAGACATTTAAACAAATGAATTCCTCTACCCAAATCACTCATTGACACTAACAATGAAGCATGTGCTATATTTATACTGGTTTGTTTTCCCAACTTACAATTAGTAAGATTTGTTGTTCTAGATGAAACCAAGGCAGTTTTAGAGTCTTTGTAATAATACAGGCATTTTCCGCTAGGCGCAGTGGCTGACACCTGTAATCCTAGCACTCTGGGAGGCCAAGGTTGAAGAATCTCTTGAGTTCAGGAGTTTGAGACCAGCCTCAACAACAGCAAGACTTCATCTCTACTTAAAATATAAAAAATTAGACAGGCACAGTGGTGAATGCCTGTAGTCTCAACTACTTGGGAGGTGGAGGCAGGAGGATCACTTGAGCTCAGGACTTTGAGGGTGCCGTGAGCTAGGCTGACTACACTGCACTCTAACCTGGGTGACAGAGTGAGACACTGTCTCAAGAAATAATAATAAATAATAATAATAAAGGCATTCACATTTTTTCACTGTTAAATGCTGCCCTCCACCTTCACATACACAGTCACATATTTGCTTATAAAGTTAGAGGCAGACACAAATTTTTGTGTAAGAAATGTCAAAAACACAGTCAATTTCATTCTTATAACAGGCAATTCTTGCAAGCTTGTCTATTTATTATTTTAATAAATAGACACCTGAAAAAATCAGTTTGCCTTTTGTGTCTCCTGGCAACTGTTACTGAAAAAGAAAACTATAACTGCCACTGACTAAAACCTTAAATGGTCAGTATCAATGATGTTAATGCAGTTTGTGATGCAAGTGGAGCTTCCATAGGGTCAGACTCTAAGAATCCGCAAATTCTGCCTAAGATCTGAGAACCTGACATAGTGAGTCAAAAACATAAAAAACACTATTTTTGAATCAAAGGCAAGGTAGTGTTAACTCCAAACACAGCTTCAGAACGCAGGGACCCACTACTGAGTGAATGAGAGTGGCAGATAAATCCTAGGGCAAAGAAATGAGAACTGGCAGGTGCCATCTCAAAGGTAAAACTCTCAGTGGTCTCACTACCTTGGGCAAAGGCAAATCAAAAGGTACTAATACGTAAAGCGAGACCTATGAACCCCAAAGTCAGCACATCACCCCAAAGCTCTGTCAATAACCACTCATGATCATCACTAATCACTTTTTTAGACTGTCCCCGAGGGCAAGGCAGTCCCACCTGAAGACCAAAGCCACTGTCGCCAGATGCAAATGTCACTCACCAGACAAGGGGGCTCCAAAGACCCCTGGCGCGACCCCACACCCCTGGTAAAGGCGCCTAGCTGTGGGCCTGAACCTGCAGGCGAAGAACGAACAGAGCGTCCAGGAGCAGCGATCTGACAGCTGGCACCGCCCCCGGCTGGAGCAGGCTTGTGACCGTTGACCCCCGACCTCTGACCTCCACAGTGCGGGCACGTACAGAGCTGGTGTTTCCCCAGCGAAAGCCTAAAAGCTCTTACCTGTCACAGGTTCATCTCATGCCGAGATGTCATCTATCAGACCACCCGTGGGCGCCCCAGCAAAGGAGGACAGGGTTTTATTTAAGGAGGCCGTGAGATGCACAAATCCAAATGGGAAAACCTTTGGGACTGCAAGCACTAGCAGCCGCCTTCTCCCCACCAAGACTGCCAGGTGCTGGCGGTGTCGGTGCTGCCGCCGCCGCCGCCGCCGCCGCAGTAAATCAGCTGACTCCAGCCTCAACTGCCGTGGCTTTCGCAGCAACTGTCGCAAAAATGAGGGGGAGGGAAATGCTCACTATTTCCCTACACGCGGAGCTTAAGCCGGCGCTGAAAGAGCCGGCCGCGTTACCATGGACACCGAAGATTGGCTACAGGGTCAACTGTGGGCACAGAGTGTACGGCCGCCATTTTGGTTGTGGGAAGTATGGTCTAGGCTCGCTTTTCGCCTCTAACGCCCTGGTTGGAGGACCAAGATGGAGGGACGCGAGAAATGGCAAGTGTAGGTCTTCCCTGGGATCAGGATATTGTATATTTACACTTCTGCCCCCACGACTCGGCCCAGATGCCTGGAAATGTCCATTACTGTATCCTTTTTTCTCCGAACTTTATGCTGACCAGTACACAGAGGGCCAGAGAAGGGACTCCTGCTACTCAACTAGAGGAAGTCTGACCTTGTGCAACACTCCTGCAGAGGAGAAGGAAAGAGTATACGCTCTCCTCCGTGTGGCGGCAGAGTGGTGGGGCGTGAGCTTTGCATTTGGAGAGGCACACATTCGGTTCCCGGTTCCTCCCCTGCGCACTGGCAGTGTCATCTTAGGCATATTGCTTCTCTTCATTCTCTCTTCTCAGAATGGATGCATCCTCCTGGATGTCTGGCAAATTAAATGAGCTCAATAAATGTTGATGACTTATCGTTGCCCATCTTCCTTTCAAATGTTGGTCGAATGAATGGGGAAGGAGAAAACTAGGGCTATGTTTGTGGCCAATGGTCAGTTCTGTTAAAGATACAAAATATATTCACTTTGTGGCTTTTTTTCTCCTTTTATAGCTCACTTTTTAGGCTTTTCTTTATAGGTGGATGTATAGGATAGGTTAAAATCCCATTGCAGTCCTCCAAAGTTAGTGTGTATGGATGCCAATCACCTGGCAATTTTGGTTAAAATAAGTTTCTGATTCAGTAGGTCTGGAATGGATTCTGAGGGTCCCTGTTTCTAATTAGCTTCCAGATAACATTTTTTGCTACTAGTCGTCGGCACACACCTTAAGTAGCAAAATCCTGATGGACACAGGGCCAGGGCTTGGGATAAGGAGACCAGAACAGGGCAGAATCCGTTCTTTCTAACAAAATAGTTTCCTTACTAATTTGGTAAAAAGAGTTTTCAGTATTGGTTTAGTCAAGACTTCCTGTCAACAATTTATTGTTTCTGGTAATAGCAGACCTCTTCTTCCTCTTCTTCCCAGCATAGACATCATATATTCCCCCACCCCAAGAAACACATTACAGACTCATCAGTGTCCTGGGTAATGGACCTCTTGTGCCTTTACTTCGCATCCAAGTACTACACTATACTTTAGGTCTCAGGTATTATTTCTTAGACGCGGTTCTGTTAATTTGAAGAGACCAGGTCTGCTGCCACCATAGTGAGAAAAACGAAATCATGTTTACCAAAAGTCAGTGGAATACTTGATGATCAATAATTCTGAAATTGTCTTGAACTGCAAATTTGAATTCTATGATTTTTCTTCTACTTTTGAATGACTGCCTTGCAATCACATGGGTGGAGGGAAAAAAAATGATGTTAAATGGAGGAAATTAATTCCTCAGCCAGCTGGCTTCAATTTACTCCCTGTGTTGTGATGATGAATACATTGACACCATTAAGTTCATAATCCCCTTTACAATTTATAATAACTTTTTGGAAATATAGGAAGCACAGAGTGGTTATTATAGGCTAACATTAAAACTTGGTTTCCTTGTGAATGAAATTATATGATATCTTTCCTAGACAAAAACTCTTCCTATTCAGCAAATACTAATTGCATGCTTACTGTAAGTTTCAGATACCTTCCTAAGAATACCAAGGTTAATACAAAAGGGCTTGGCATCCTGGCTCATGCTTATAATCCTACGACTGTGGGAGGTCTTGGTGGGTGGATTGCTTGAGCTCAGGGGTTGGAGATCAGCCTGAGCAAGTGCTAGACCCCGTCTCTAAAAATAGAAAATAGCTGGTGGGGGCGGGACTTGGAAGGGTTGGAAGGTTCCTGTAATCTACTACTTGGGAGGCTGAGGCAAGAGGATCACTTGAGCTCAAGAGTTTGAGGTTGCTGTGAGCTGTGATCCACGGCACTCTACCCAGAGCACCAGAGTGAGACTCTGTCTCCAAAAAAAGAAAAAAGGTTAATACAAAAATTAATGAGAAGCTGTAAGACTATTACTACTCTGGTCACGCTGTAGGAAATTTGTAAAATTTATTGCCAAAGCCAATATGTATGTGACATCTCTTGAGCCACAGGGATAAAATAAACATTTAAATATTACTGAATAAACTGATACTGGTTCATAAACATTTGTACATTTTTATACACACACATATATCTTTTTTACATATAACCGTCCTAAAAATTAAGATTTCTACCTTCAGTAAGATAAATATTTATTGGGTAGTGCCTGTGGCTCAAAGGAGTAGGACGCTAGCCCCATATGCCAGAGATGGTGGGTTCAAACCCAACCCCAGCCAAAAAAAAAAAAAAGATAAATATTTATTCATCCAGATGAATTATACAGAAATCTTAAAAGATTTAAATAATCAAAAAACTCAGTTCAGGCCAGGCACAGTGGCTCACACCTATAATCCTAACATTCTGGGAAGTCGAGGCAGGAGGCTTCCTTAAGCTCGGAAGTTCCAGACCTCACCTCTACTAAAAATAGACAAATTAGCCAGACATCATGTGAGAAGTGCCTCTAGCCCTAGCTCCTTGGGAGGCTAAGGCAGGAGCATCAATAGAACCTAGGAGTTTGAAGTTGCTATGAGTTAGGCTGATGCCATGACACTCTTTGGAGAATCTGTATCAAATAAAAAAACCTCAGTTCAACATATATTTATTGAGCCTTAGCTGATGGTGAAGCTGAGAAAGTAAGAATCTGGAATATTCAGGTTTTATGGAGGAAGGGAACTCGCTACACACTGCAAAGTATGTTGAATGCTGAGCAGGTAAAACAAATTCCCACCAAGACATGTACGCAATAATAGCACAAGATGAGTAATACACAAATAACAAGCAGGGAAGAAAAGATGTAATTTATTTAATTTATTTCTAGATTGGGATAAGGAATGATAATCAGATTTCATGGAGGTCTAGAGAAATGGGTAGGATTTGAAATAGGAACAACTGGAAAAACAAAACAACTTTGTTACCAGTCCTGAAATGTAAAACACAGATGTGTACACATATAATAAACAGTTAAATGTGGGAGAAATACAAGGGACGAGACACAGCCGTAATGGAAAAAGGTGACTTTAGGGCATAATTATTTGGGCCCCGTGATGGGCTACCCTAACAGGAAATCTTTGCCCTGGAGCTCTCTTGTGGGTTTGTAGAGGCTTTCTTTATCAGATTGGACCCAAACACAGTAATAAAAAACTAACATGAAAAAGATCAGATAGATCAGATTTGGATGACTGTATAGGTTTTTGAATGTTATTCCAAAGACAAGGAAAGCAAATGAAGACTTTTGACAAATAGCATGGTACTTTTCCAAAAAAAATACTGTATTCATTTTTTTCTTGCTTTATCACAAATTACCACAATCTTAATAGCTTAAAATAATACACATTTATTGCCTCGGTTTCCATGGGCAAGAACTTCAGACACAGTTCTATGAACATGAGTCCTATGTTCAGGCTCTCACCAGGCCACAATTGAAGTGTCAGCCAGACTGCATTCTCATTGGGAGGCTAGACAAGGGTGAATCTAATTTTAAACTCCTGCCAGTTCGTTTGGTTCTTCGTGGCTGTGTGACTATAGGTCCTGGCTTCCTACTGGCTATCATCTAGAAGGTACCATCAGGTCCCTAGAAGCCACCTACAGTTCCTTACCACATGGGACTTAGCAAAGCCTCTCTTGCAACGTGGCAGTTTACTTCTTAAAAGCAAGCAAGGGGGCTCGGCGCCTATAGCTCAACCGGCTAAGGCGCCAGCCACGTACACCTAAGGTGGCGGGTTCGAATCCCCAGCCCGGA